TTTATTTTCGTGTCATCTTGTCAGACATTCAGCGCCATCTATCGAATAGATAGGAAATCATTTCGCAAGGAGATTTTACCAATGTATACATTGTTTTAATTGTTTTTAATATGTAGGTAGCCGCTTTCATAGATGGCGTTGTAATTAAAATCGTGTCAAATCAGTTTTATTCGATCGTCACAACTTCGTTCCTATCGGGTGTCCCACGACACCACACGGCTTTTTTATTGTAATTATTTAGTAAAGTAATTTATGTTTTAACGGCCTTACCAATAAACTTTTACACAAGACGTATAACAGGATTTTAACAAAAACGTTACCAATAAAACAATATTTGACGTTTCGGTTGTATACATCTGGTGCACAGATGTTTGGAAACAATGAGATTTTAGACAATCGTTATTCAGCCCTCGGCCCTTGTTTAGCGAACGTGTAACTTATAATAATTAGTTGCTTACGTTATTTTTAGTTTGAAAACCATGGATTATTTACAATATTTCGATATTTTTGATGAAATTGACAATGAAGAACCACCAAGAAAAAGAAAATGTTACAAAAATCGATATGATCCTTTCTGTTTATCTGAAAATGAGAATTTAATGGCATTTTATTGGGTGATTCAGGCTATGGCTTAACAAATTATTTATTTACACCACTACAAAATACTTGTAATGCCAAGCAGGAAGCTTACAATCGTTCTCATATATTAACAAGAAACATAGTTGAAATATGCTTTGGAATTTGGAAGCAAAGGTTCAGATGCCTTTTACATGGATTCAGCGTATCACTCGAAAATGTTAAGTTATATATAGTAGCACTTGCTGTATTGCATAACATTGCTATTGATATGATCGAAGATATGGATTTTCCAGAACCTGATACAACTGAGGATACTGTGTGACAGAATGTGCCAAGAAATATACTTGACAGTGTTACTGGTCAAGAATCAAGGCGGATATATATTGAAACACATTTTTAATTATACCTACTTATTTATTTTTATAAATTGTTTGTACTTTTCAAATAAAGTTTCTTTAAAGTTCATGAAATTATTTGTATTATCCATTATTGTCGAATATATTAACCGTGCTTAACTTAGTTGTGAGTGTGACCGAGATAAAACAAAAACCTCTGAACTAACGATGTGCAGAAATTGACTTTGACAACTTACATCAGTTGCGTTCTAAAAATGTAAGTAGGTACGGAACGAGCGCAACAACGATAATTTAATTTTTTTTTATTTGTAATAGACCGTAAAAACAATATATTTGGAGATAACATGATGTATTCAATAACAAATACATTTTATATAGCCATAAGCATAAAGTTGTGAGCGTATTATCAAATGAAATAAAGTCATTGAATTAACGCCGTACGAGTTTCGGAACGCCCCTATGAATGTTGCCAGTGGTTTTTGTTATACGTAGGCGGTAACTATCCATTGTTTACACACTGATTATTAGTGAGGGTAATGTGTAACGCCTATTCACAGCCTATACATTGTACAACTAAACATTTGTCCAACAGATGTTTAACTTATTTTTATTAGTAAGGCTGTAAGTGTGTCTATCCGTGGGCACAAATGGGTTAAAAGTAAAAAGTATCAGCTTTTTTCCACATTCACATACTATGGATACTAGACAATTAATATAATTACATATATTTACTTCTTTTTTTTTGTAAATACATTACATATTACACATAGAAACACCCAGACCAAATCAAACATTAAATGTTCATCTTGAGCAGGAATCGAACCCGCAACTTTTGGAATAGCAGTCCGTTACCCAAGCCACTACGCAATCCGGTCGTTTTATGTGATGTATTATAAAAAAATTCAATAAACGTATGTAGTTTTACTGGATAACAGAATACTTATATGTTGATATAGATAAAATATAAAGATATAATATGTAAAGAGAACAGAGCAGTATATTAAGGTTCCTTTTTTTTGTTGACGGGTTGGAAAATCCTCGACGGGGTGGGCTCCTTGGGGATGTAGGAGCCAGGAGTATGTGGTGATTCCACTAAAAACTACCCCGACGGAAGGACTCAAGCGCCCTACTCCGAGGAAGAATATTAAGGTACATATTACACATAATACGACTGGAGGATAGTACACGATACTGTAAACTATTACTTAAACATTGTAAGTATTTATTATTAAACAAAATACGATGATCAGTCTCGCTATTAGAAGTATAGTAAGAATAATCTTAGTAATGTCTTGTTATTGTTATTGAAAATTTTAATTCAAGTTTAATGCTCCTAATCACTTACACCACCTCAAGGTAGACTGGCAGAGAATGTCCACCTTTGTACATTTTTTTGCAACCGATTTTTGCATTTTTTTAATGAGAGCAAACGGGTCTTTTGAGGACTCGGTGGTGATTACCGGCGCCCACGCACCTTTGGGACTAAATTGTTATAAGTGAAATGGTGAGCTTCGAAGTGGTAGTACTTACGCTCTTTTGTTTATAAGTTACTACTACAATAATTGCGAAAAACTGTGCAATTAGTTATTGGATTTAAAACTTTAAAGGAAAAATATTATACGACAACAAATTTTTAAAATAAAATTTTTGGACATCTGACACAACGCCATCTAGTTTCAAACAAATTTAAGCTTGTACTATGAAAGCTAGATTGACTGATAGAATACTTTTAAACTTTTTTTGTAAATACATGCATATTATACATAGAAAACACAAACTCCAAAACAATATCATACATACATTTGGTCCGAAATGGGAATCGAACCTGACACCTCAACACATCAATCGCATACGCTACCACTGCACTACAGTCATCAGGTTAAATTATAGGTAGAGTCAGGCAGACAAATTATAAAAAAATATCGATCTTTAGACGGCAGGTTCTTTGGTTTCAACTCAATACAATTTTTGACAATTTCGTTGTGGGAATGCCTTTTACTATTTACCTAATAAAAACAGTGTTAAGCAATTCTATCGTTGCTTTTTACCGAATGGGTGAGGATAACAGATCAACACCACATCTCTCCTCTTATTTCAGTAGTGGAGGGTGGTGGAGGGTGGATAGTTTACCCAAAAGAGGACAACGCAAGAGACTCTTGAGTGTCAGGTATCAATAGGCGATAGTAGACCCTTAGCATTAAGGTCGGCGGGTGTCGTCCAGGGCGGGGCGCTGTTGCGCCTCTTAGTGTGTAGAGAAGTGCGAGGTCCGCCCAAGGGGGACTACGGCCACCCTGGGATGTAACTCAGACATGGGGTACGGCAGGGAGGACTCTAAAAGCCCCCGATGCGTTCCTAGTAGGTAGGCCACCGCCAGGCTTAGTGGGTAGGCACAACGGAGGGTAGAGCAAAAAGCATTCGCGGCAAAGAAAAGGTGATCCATTTCTTCGTAAGCTCCTATACCATCAAAAAATACCTTAACAATTAAACGTTTAAAATACCTATTATAGATTATACCTACATATCGTTATGATCGTAGAATAATATCGGTTTTGAAAAAATACGAAATTCAGTTTTACCATATTTGGATACTACATTGTCTAAATATTAATACGACATTCAAGAAAAATTATATGTATTTTAGATTTTAGATTATTCAGTGTTTGTTTGATAGGCGATTTTTCTAGAAAATTGTAAAATTAACAGTTGTTATTTTTATTGCATTTTAAAACAAACCCTATTTTTCAATTCTATAGCAATTTTCATAACTACAGATTTAGAATTAAAAAAGTTATGTCAAAAAAAAAACATAATTATTTGAAATGGCTGCCCTGCAAAGTTAAAAAAATGTCAGATCCGACACTATTTTACTACTATGACGATATTATACCTATTATGGGAAATTTGAGCGAAGTGGTCATATATGCATTAAGATTCCAAACTCAAATGCAGAAGCATTTCAAACTCAATTCATATTTATTGATTTTTACTAAATCATAGATCAAAAACTTTCTATAGAATCATCATCAACAGCCTTTACTAGTCCACTGCTGGACATAGGCCTCTCCTTGGGAAGGAGGTTTTTTTTCTATAGAATACATGAAAATAATCATAATTGAAAGAAATCTAAATGTAGTAATTACATTTCAACAGTTACATAAGAAAGGACCACGAGAGAAAGAGGCCTTTCTATAAAATTACAACTTAAATAAAAAAAAACCCAGCATTCATAATGAAGTAAATGTAACTTAGTATTGAATAAATTCTTTAAAAGAAAATCTTTTGCGAAGCTTTAGCGAGTCTACCTCAGGCGTAATTACGTAAATCTGCTTTGAAAATATTTTCTGTGTTTTTAAGCTTCATCATAAATAATATGAAAATGTCACGGTCGTCCTCGGAAGGACAAACACTGGCTTAGCAGGTAATATACCTCCACAGACGATGTTACAGAGAACTTTTCCCACGAATATCATAAAAAAATTAGTTGATACGTAATATCTAATTTGTTTTATTTTTGAGTGATTCGTTTTATAAGGTTTTTACGCCATTCAACTTTATTAGTCTCGATATCGATATTAACAGTAAATCGCGAAGAAACATCAAAGGCATTTTATAATAAGCTAGTTGTTAGTTGTAATTTTTGAGCGAATTTGGACGGTTCGACAGCACATAAAATACGAAAAATAAAAACATTGAATGAATGAATGATGATAGTTAAATCTGTACAAATATCGTAAAATTTCTAAAACTATTCGTCAGATTTGAGTGATTTTTCAAAAATTGAGAATTTTCATTTGGTATTGGATATCATATTTATTTAGATAAATGTTAATAAAAGATCACGATACGTTTTTTTAAAAACGGAGCAATGACTATGAGCACAGATAAATGGCATACAACGGCCAGCATATTGTGAACCGTTTTTTTTAGTCTACATTTTTAATTTTTATAAAAATACATCTAATACCTATGGTATGGGTAACTTTATAAGCAATGTTATTGTTACTTAACATTATCTCGACTTTTCTACATGTAGCTATGTTGACAAACAATATTATATCTGTATACTCACGTGATTGTAGGTGGTGGGTTAGCGTGGACGAGGCAGGGTAGTGTGACGTCACCACCTCTCCGCACGACGGCCTCCCACTGGCCGTGTGAGATGCTGCGAGGTGCAGACGCGACGCTCATTGCTGGAAATTGTTGACTACATTAGAAACTACATTGCAGATATTAAGGTTAGGTGGCTCATTAACGTTTTCTACATTGCCTTATTGTTATGAAGACTTTCCGTGTGGTAACGGATTAAGAATACAAATTGTCACCACCCCAATTCATTTATTTATTTATTTATTTATTCATCTTTATGCACTTTTGTACATCGGCGGACTTAATGCCCAGGGCATTCTCTTCCAGTCAACCTTTGGGTGATGTAGAAATCTTGTCAGGTAGGTGCACAGAGGTTACATCATAATATCAAATGTACAATGAAAATATATACGGTTCACTACATATATAAACATATACACACATACTACACTTACACATCATAAATACACACATCCTCAAAGATACACATACACATATATACAAGTATATTTATATAGATACATAGACATATCATATTCGTACACTATGAAAACCTGAATTTGAGGTATACTTAACTATGGATTAGACCGTTCTGCCATTTCTTTAAGAAGGAGAGCATGTACCTTCTTTTTGAATATAAAGCGGTTTGTGGACATCCTGATTTCGAGCGGGAGCGCATTCCAGAGTAGTACTGCTTGAACAAAGAACGAAGAGTTCACGAAGTCGGAGTTGTGAGAGGGACATAAGAGAAGCAGATTGTTATCTGAGCGAAGATTTCTGTCATGATTGCTAGACAGGTAACATAAGTAGGGAGCAAGGTAAGTAGGTGAGGACGGTGAATTGAGAAATGCAAATAGAGAGGTAAGTGCACGCTGTTTGCGGCGGAGGCGAATAGGTAACCAGTTTAATTGGGAACGCAAAGCAGACACATGGTCATACTTCCGAAGATTGAAGATGTATCGAATGCAGTTATTGAGAAGACGGTCAAGCTTATTTAGAAGGTCTGCATTCAGGTCGAAATAACACACATCACCATAGTCAATTATTGGCATTATTAAGGACTGCATGAGCGTAACTTTGGTTTTAGGCGGTAGGAAATTCTTGAGACGATACAATGTTCGCAAATTGCCAGTTACTTTCTGGCTCACGCTAGTAATTTGAGCTCGCCAATCGAGGGATGAATCGATAAGTAAGCCCAGGTCTTTGACTACCGGGCTGAATGGAATAATTAAACCATTGTAGACGACCGGTGGGATAGAGGCAGTATCCAATCTGCTCATAATCCGTTTGCTGCCTGTTATGATTGCCTGACATTTGGTCGGATTAACTGACAGTCCAAATCTCATCGAAAAGGATTCTATGACCTCCAGGTCCCGATTGACCTCGTTAATAGCCCGCGTTACGTCCTCTACCCTTGCCTGTGAGTACAGCTGCAGATCATCAGCATACAGGTGATACGCACACTGAAGATGTTGAGTTACGAGGTTAATAAATATAGAAAATAAGAGAGGAGATAAAATTCCGCCTTGTGGGACGCCAGCGTGGAGGTCGCACCAACTTGATGATAAGTCATCAACACGAACACATTGCTGTCGCCCCTGAAGATAGGTGGAGAACCATTCCAGTGTCTCAGAAGGAACCATAAGATGGGATAGGATAGATAACAGGATTTCGTGATTGACGGTATTAAAGGCATTAGAGAAGTCAACTAGGACTAATACTGTGACTTTGGTGTCTTCCATGCCCTTCCTAATATCGCCAGTCACTTTAAGGAGAGCGGTAACTGTGCTGTGGCCGGGTCTGAAGCCCGATTGTAGAGGGCTTAAAAGTTGGTTTCTGTATACAAACTGTGAGAGTTGCTTATGTACACAGGCCTTGAGTACTTTAGATAAAAATGGAAGAATAGAAATAGGCCGAAAATGTTCAGGAAGTAAAGGGTTATTATTTTTTGGGAGAGGAATAATATAGGCCTTACGCCACAAGGAGGGGAAAGTACCGGAGTCAAGAGAGAAGTTTATTATATGAGTAATTACTAAGAGAATGCAGTCTAGGATGGTGACAATCATGCGACGGCTAATGCCATCACACCCCACAGCATTAGAACGGATAGAAAGAACAATCTTCTTGATATCCTCGGGAGACACCGGAGAAAATACAAACGAGTCAGAAGTGGAACTGGTTAGACCAGATATGTAGTGTAGCGTTTGACATTTGGTTTGAAGATCCAGCGTAGCTGTGAATGAGAAATGACGGTTGATATCATTCAAACCAATTTTATTGTTAAACACGTGATGCTGTTGTTTACCAATTCCTAGAGTACCAAGAAATTTCCAGATACTGGATGAAGAAGAAGACTCTATGTTTTGAAGAATATGTCGGCGTTTAGCGTTGCGTATCACCTGGTTGCACCGATTCCTTGCAGCCTTATAAAGGTTCCATTTGTCTTCGCAGCGATCTTTCTTGAAACGAAGAAAGGACTGGTCCCTTCGTCTCATAGCAGTTCGAACCTCATTCGTCATCCAAGGCGCCGGGGCACGTTTTAGTTTTACTCTCCTGATAGGAGCGTGGACGTCATACAATTTCAAAATGGTGTCATTAAAAATACGAATTTTGTTGTCCACGTCGGTGGCAGCTGCCATATCCTCCCAATCGATCTTAGCAGCATCTGCGTGTAATTTGTCAACATCCATGCGTCGGAAACTGCGGATCTGTAGAAGTTTAGGAGGTGGTTTAGGAGGTTTCAGGATATAGGAGAGGAAGATAAGGTCATGATGGGAAAAACCAGGGGCAAGGAATTGTCCATGGGAAGAGACAAGGTGTGGGGCAGAGGTGAGCATTAGATCTAGCCAGGTATCCTGGTAGTCTAAATTGTGGTGAGTGGCTTGAAGGGGCAGGATATGAAGGTTGGTTGCTTGGATGATCTGAAGGAGATTGCGTGTACGAGGAGTGTTTGGGGCTAGGAGGTCAGTGTTGAAATCGCCCATGATGATGTGATGCGAGTGTTCCGACCCTAAAGATTCCAGAACTGTTTCCAGACTAGAGAAGTAGTTAACGGTTGGGGGGCAGTAGACTACACCTAGAATTACGTTGACTCCCTTGACACAAACTTCGAGGAATAGGTATTCTGCGTAGGTGGAAAGGTTGGAGGAGGAAGAGGCGAGGATTTTATAAGGTAAGTAACTACGAAGGTAGATAGCGACGCCCCCACCTCTTTTATCTAAACGGTCATTGCGGATAAGTAAAAATCCAGAGAGAGGATATGAGGTGGAGGGTAGGTGGGGCTTGAGCCAAGTCTCCGAAATCAGGACGGCATGAACGTTGTTGTCAGAGAAAGTCTCGGTTAAATCGCTAAAATGACTTGGGACACTCTGCGCATTTATATGGCAAACATTTAGAGAAAGACAAGATTGAACGGGAAATGTTTGCCGTAATTGGTCACCCAGAGTCTCTGTCAAGGAACTATAACTGGCATCTTCGGAAGAGTCATCGGCAGAAAAATATATGTCAGCTTCATCATCGGTCATCATCATAAGTGTATAATATACTATAAAAAAAGAAAAAAATACCTACTAAAATACTATATGAAGTATATAATAAATATGTACTAAAAACAAAAATAATAATATATATATGTAGGTTCTATGATATATAGGCTGGAGTTGGCAAATTGCATTTCTACACCACCCGCCAGCAGACACACACAGAATTAATGTACTAAAACAAAGTAAGATTTGTGACATTAAACATGATCGAAATATATAGTAAGCATAAATGATTCAATTAAATTAAATAGAGAAATAGACAAGAGAATAAACAAGAAAATAAAATAAAATAATAAGTAAGGAGGAAAGCAAAATAAAAGACAGACATTCAACTATACAATTTCCGAACGCACCTAAAAATTAAAAAAATTAAAATAAACAAACGTTATCTTGACAGATGACACTAGTTGTTGTCACAAATTGTTCTGATTTACGATATGCAATCTAAACAATACAAAAACCCTGCGTACTTGTGTTTTGATATCAACAAACTAATTATATGAACAACCAAAATGTGTTTATAAATGATGACAACTGTGCAGTAGTGCAAAACGGTCACTGTCTCCGCGAACTTTTAGCGGCCGTACTCGAACTCGCTTTGGGCGGGGATGTAGCCTTAGAGTATTTGGCTATGAGTGGTTCCAGCTCTTCCGGTGATGTTATTTTATGGCGGCTATTATCGGAAGGTTTGACGATTATCGTGCCATCTTGTGTCCAGCAGGCCGACATGCCGAAATGTTGGCGGGCCATGTTGAAGGTCGCCTGTCGGGTTCTAGTAAGAAATTCTCTTACCGAGAAGCCGGTCCCCTTCAGCGTCGTCTTCGCCTTCCAGACTGCAGCTCGAACCTCCGCCGAAGAAAATCTTACCAGCACCGGGCGACGACGGTCCTTGGATTGAGCACCAATCCGGTGACAAGTTTTGATGGTGGTTGTTGTAACGTCTTTGAGACCCATCTTCTGATTAAGGATCACAAGCAAGGTCTTAGTACAGTCCTCCTTGATGGCTTCAGGCACTCCGAGAAAGACAAGTGCCTTACGTCGATGGCGGGTCTCCATGATGTCCACCATTTTGGCACACTCACTGATTTGCTTGCGAAGCAGACCCAGCATGTTAAACATTAACTCCCGGAATGCTCTAAACTCCTCCGAGACTCTTGCAACAGTTTCCTTGGAGTTACCTCCAGTATGCAGTTGTGCTTCAAGCTGGGCCATCCTTTTGGAGAAACTTTCTTCTAAACTACACTGTGCCGCTTGTATGTCAGAAAGTTGAGACATTGTTACCGAAGATTGCAGAGATGGTTGAAAAAAAAATTGATAATTTGTTGTTGGAATATGAAATGAGCAAATAAGCTGGCAGGTGGCTTAAACACTTAGATCAATGTATAAACAGGATAGTAACTGTAAGTGTTATAAGAATAAATAATAATTTACTGTATTTAGATGTAATTTAGGTATAAATAATTTAAATAAATTTAGAGCTTTTGAAAACTATGTATTGACTTTTTCAACACCTACCCACGAAAAATTCATCCCGTGGGTGTCGTAAGAGCCGACTAAGGGAGCAAACTCAGCAGGACAACAGCACTGCAAAGAGAAGGAAAACTTGAAACAAACCCTATACCAACCAGTCTGGCCAGCGTGGTATAGTAGGCCAAAACCTCCTTTCTAAGGAGAGGCCTATGTCCAGTGGTGGACTAGTATAGGCTGTTGATGATGATGATGTGAAAATGAATTTGTCTGTTTATTTGTTTGTTTGTGACTCTTTCACCACCACCAATTTTAAAAATTGTTTTATCACTCGAAAGTTACATTATCAGCGAGTAACACAGGGTTTTTTACCGCCATAACCGCCATACAGGCGGGCGGAGACGCGGGTGTAAGCTAGTATTTTATAAAAATATCCTTTAAACATGCTTTTATTATATCAATGTACAAAAGCAGGTGCAAAAGCTTTAATGGGCAGCTAAAACCAATATATTTACAACATTAATGCAATTTAGTCTACGTGAGTACCTAACACATGTGTGCGCCGTGCCGACTGGATATATATATTTACTATAAACTTTTTACATTAACAAAGTAATTGGTACCTTTTTTAATATAGAAATGCAACAATTATTGTAATATCTTGCGGAGAGATGAGGAAGATGTGGCGAAGAAAGTGTTGGGTATGAGAGTTGAAGGATAAGGGACGAGGAAGGGCAAAGAAAAGGTGGATGGACTGTGTAAGTGAGGATATGGCTAGAAAGGGAGTAAACAGTGAAAGAACGAATGATAGAGTAGAATTATAGAATCATAAATATTGCGCAGACCTCAAATAAAATTTGTAAGCAGAGGATAAACAGTTATCGTAAAACAGGCAATGTGTTTAATTAAACATTTTCAACTTTAGTAGGCCAAAACCTCCTTTCTAAGGAGAGGCTTATATCCAGTTGTAGACTATTTAAGGAGGTTTTGATCATTCGTCATTTCTAAAAACATGCTTATCACAGATAAATTACACGCACGATAATTGGTTCTCTACCAATGATTTTGTTCATTACACAACTATTTTTACTGGGTGGGAATTGACCCCACGACCTCTGGCACAACAATCAAGATCACTAACCACTGAACCTCATAAATATGTTGTAGTAATAATTATGTTTACTGGTATTCAGATTGTGGTTAGGCAATCGCATCAGATAGTGCTCAGTCCTTGACTAAGAACTTAGAGGAAGCAGTTTTACAAAGAACTGAAAGTACTTACGAGCTACATCAATGTTGACAGGAGTACTTCTCCTTCTATCACCGGTGAGGGAGTCCAGCACTGAACAGGAGTACATCGCTTTAGAGTCTTCTATTCGCACTGAGCGCACGATTAGTTTCCAACCATCGTCTACTATGAAAGTGGAACCGGCTGCAAAGAAAACTGTTAATAATAAAAACGTTTTTTTTTTAAAGCGTAAGCGTTCCCCAGACTTTTCTCTTTGCAAACAAGTTTAATAAAAGTGCTTCTGTTTTAACTTGTTTTTAACTGTATTAGGATATAGCGAGAAAAGACGGTTAGGAAGATAATCAAAATAACACCGATTTGATGTATTATATATATATATATATATATATTTTTTTTTAATTTATATCTTTATTGTTTACAGTTATGTGTATAAGACATTGTCATTACAAATATATAGACGTAATATATAATATATATTAAATAATATAATATATATTAAATAGACATACACACAATATATATATATATATATATATATATATATATATATATATACTGTCCAAAATATATACTATAAATAAAGAAACCAACAGCATTTATAATGTCAGATAAAAATCCTTCACTAGCTTTTTGAAAGCGGGCAAGGTTTATATATAATATATTGATAACAAATCGGTGTTATGTGTTCAATACATTTAATTTTGAAATATTTATACGCATTAATTTGTTAATTTTACCCGATATCTCTAGGTATATGACATTAAAGTCAAAAAGCATTGTTCGTGACAAATACTGGTCCAAATAAACTTAATTACAGAAGACTTACTAAGTTTCGCGTTCTACGATATGCGTATGTACTTTTTCATTTTTAATTCTGAAATAACATATTCTTTCAAAGGCACATTTATTTAGACAAGGTTTATGAACTTGCCTTAATAATAATTTTGCCTTTGACGAAGAGGCCCAACGTTTTAATGATATTATGTATGTTGATCTATGATTTTTAAATGTAATTTTTTTTATGTAAAAATTAAATGTAAAAAAATATTATAAGGTATAAAGACACAATACTAACCTACTTAGAACTACAAGGTCGTATGCCTATTTACCATAAATGTGATATAAAAAAGAACTTACACATGTGATCAGCGGCAGGGAGTACAGACTCATCTCTGTACCAGGCTGCGACTGACGCGTGCTCTTTGAGAGCAGCTGGAGCCACGCACGTGAGGATTGCCGGACCTCCTGCTTCGGCAGGTGTGGACGTAACGTGAACCTGCCAGTCTTGAAACACCACTGAGGACAAGGAACAGGTTTTTATTAGGTATTATGGATCCAATTTCTTCAAATGTCATAACACGTGTCAATACACATACACAATGTTCTCAGTGTCGTCGTGACGAATACTGGAATAGTGTATGCAGACCATCATTCAGAGTCGAAAATCATTGGAATTTTCTGCCGGAAAATTAAACTTTTTATGCCATTAGCTGTTAAAGGTAAAGGTCATTCCCCGTAGGTATCGCACTAAAGTAATAACTACTTGTGTATTCCGTGCAAAGAGTCTACGCACACTAACACAAAATGGTGACCGGAGTGGAGGCCCCGCGCGCTTCAGCTGTTTGATTAAATACATTGCAGTTTTTTGGTATTTATTAAATTGTTTTCGTTAAAATGTTCTATCTACTCATTGTGATATCATTTTTCATCATTTTTAACTAAACTTTAAAATTCTAATGATTTTCGACTCAGAATCATGGTTTGAATACACCATTTTAGTATTCGGTACGATGTCCCTTACACCTTATATTATAATGTATCAGCCCAAGGTGTGTTGAAGTTAGGCAGGCGACCGGCCATAAAGTTAAAAACCGACACCATTTGGCAATGAAATAAAGGAGTGCGAATGAAAGAGGATGTCAAGTGATCAAGAAGAATGAAAGAAGAAAACTTAATACAAATATAATTATTGATATATACCGTATATATACGTATTGCTAATAAAGATTTAGTCAGTTGGAAATTTGTTTATTAATGAATAAATATCATGATAAACAAAAACGTTATACGTACACAAAAATATCAATTTCAGAGCAATCAAAAGAGTATTTGAACATAAATGAATGTAAAAAACTGCGACTTTGATTCGCTCTAATTAACCGTAAAACTTTGTAACTGGAGTGAACCACAGTAATAGGGGTTTGCGGCAAAAAGGTGGTAAAAAAAAAAGTATTTTGCAAACGAATACATTCGTGATTTCAACTTGTGAATAATTCCTGATTTGCTCGTAACGTATTCGACGCAATTTGCCGACATTTCTGGAGGATTGATTGTAAATTTGCCACCCTGGTTATAATGTTATCGGATTTGTAACTTTTTTGTTTTGATTGGTTCATCAGCATCAAATACTATGGCAAGATTTGTCGTATGTTGATTTAATTTTGCATTGTGTATGCTGTTTTGCGTGGTCTATAATACTTTTGCTTTGATTTTGCTTTGCCACTCTTGCTTCGATGCTATACGTATAGGAGGAAAAGAGCAGAGCCCTTAGGTACCTTGATTATAAGTGGCGTAGCAGCACTTCAATCGATCTGGACCATATGTGCTATTGCTTGGCTTTCCCTCACACTCGATTCATTAAAATTATACTTTACCGGGTTAAGCAACCGTAGTAGTAAAATTCATAAGATTTTTTCTCCTTTCACTATACATATTGCTGTTGTATTTTTTGCCTAAACCTACTTCACATAAACCATTTTCAAACTTTAAGGGCTTAGCGCACAGTCGGGCAATGTTTAGTGACATCCACGGGTTTTTTTCCTGAATTCTCCCAATTTATTTGTAATCTAACGATATTAGTGTTATTGCTAATATGCTACTTAAGAAAATACATTATGTTTCATGTTGAGGTCGCCGAAATGAATAACATTGCAAAGGGTTCTAGCAGTTTTTTTTTATGGCCCGGTCTGAGTGCCTAACACAACAATTTTTTTCAGACAGGACAAAAGACGAAGATAAATTGGAGTAAAGAAAACGTATAAGGAAAAAAAGGACACGGGATACCATAAAGCGCGGATGGGGAGTTAGCATTGAGAGTGCAGTCACTCAAAAGCGTTAGGTTCGGGGACATCTATCCTATGATTCAAGACGCCACTGGGACTAGGGAATCAACTGTTTTATGTAACTATCTAATCTTCTACACAATCCATTATTTTCTCAAACAAAGGTCAAAAGAAAGTCACTGAATCAATATACCCCGACAGTATACAACTTTCCTCACTTTTTATTTTCAAACACTTTTTCTTGCATGCAGTAGAAGTTTGTAGCAGATGCTCGCAAACTTTTGTATTTCGTCCTCTTTGCTAACTTGCTAAGTTTTTTAAGCGTCGCTCTTGGGAAATCTTCATCTTATATTAAACGAAATAGTACTTAAATAAGTCAATTTTCGCATACACTCGCATGGGAACCAAAGTTTAGTCTTTAGAAAATGGAAGCGTGATACATAGTACTTAATGTATTTTTAGTGTAGCAATGTGCAGTTTTTATGTATTTAAATAAATAAAATTGAATATCAAAATAATAGGTTTTTTTCATGCTCACACGGTTATTTGCACGATGCCTATGCCTAAAAAGCAGTTTAAATATTTTTTGTCTGTCTGTCTGTCTATCTGTCTGTTTGTTCGGGGTAATCATCAAAACGACTGAACAGATTTTGGTAATATTTTACTACCAGGTAGCTGTAAAAACAAGAAGTAACTTAGACAATTTCTTCTCTCTCTCACAAAAACCCTGTAAAATTTTGCTCGGTCCGGGAATCGAACCCACTACGGCAACGCTTTTTAATTCCATTATATAAAAGAAGAAACTGGCAGACTGATTCACTGACTTGTTAATCAACGCACAGCTGCAACCTTTGGGTCTAGAAACATGAAATTTTGCACAAATATTCTTTAGGTGACGTAGATGTGCACTAAGAAAGGCATTTTTTAAATTCCACCCCTAAGGGTGCAAAATTAGAGTTGGAAATTTATAAGAATCTTCGTTATTTTTGGATAGTAGCGTATTCTCTACGATGAGTGTCGACCACAACGCGGACGAAGTCGCTGGCAAAAGCTAGTCGTGTACATAAGGAATGTCTGGTTAGAGGCTCGACAGTAACAAAAACAGTCAGAATTACAAATATGTGACCACGACCTTCTGAAACTATTGCTTATTTCCTACCATTGCATTCCGAGCAGAGCTTGTACTATGGGTACCAGACAACTGATATAAATAATACCTGCATATATGCATAGAAAAACACAGACCAAATCAAACATTAAATGTCCATGCACACAAATGTGTAACTGGCGACCTTTGGCGTAGCAGTCTGTTACGCAAACCATTACGCCATCTGGCCTGTTCCTGAATTGCCCGGTCGTAGGCTATAGGCTTGCCGAATTATGCAATTAAAATTAAACTTATAATCTGCAAAATATGGGCTTTTAATGCGTCTCTGTAAACCTCTTCGGGGATTTAAACGAAAATGTATTGAGTTACCATGAAATTAATCATCAGTAAAAGCCCTAAAATTGTATTGTAAGTATGTTTTAAGACTATTAAGTTTGTTATAACATAGGGATGAAAAGTAGAATGATACCAAAAAACTATTTTTTTTTCTGTACGATTTTCCTGTGGACTTGGGATACAAGACAAACATCTTATTTGATATCAAGAATTTCTTTAGTTCGCATATTACTGTTAAATTTTATAGTGCTGTTTACCAGAACTAAACTCTTCCAAACTATTTTCTTGTTTGAGAAAACAGGAGTTTTAAGATTTAGAGTTCCGTTTAAGATTTAACGTGGTAAGTTTTGAAATTATTATGAGTTACTTCAAAGTAAATTTAACAGTTATCAAGTTACGAAAAGCAAGGTGTAGGCTGATTAGTTGAATTAATCACCTTTTAACGCCTGACGTGTTCAGCTATTACGAACATGAATAGTAGTGTACCTGTGGTTGAGCAACCATCTGTTGTGTCGTCACATTAAAGTTTATATTTTTACTATTTCGAATTTGATAAATTATAAACTTGTCAAAATAGATTAAAATTTAATCAATAACGTGATAATAGACAATATTTTGTCTATCTACACCGGTGAATCTGGATCAGCGGTCCTCCTAAAAGTACTGGACACTGGTGGAGTGAAATAAAATAAAGTTTTTTCAGTTGAACTTAGTTGCTGATCGAAGGAACGAAGGAACGAAGAAGTAAATGTTGGTTATTGAATTTGTACGTTTATAGCAATAGTGGTGAGATCTTTACAAATACATCTAAGTTTTTAACATAAGTTTCTAACTTAACGCTAAGTTAAGAATCACTTTGCAGCTATAACCATGTTATGATAATCATTAATTTCACATCACATCACATCAGCAGCCTTTAATAGTCCACTGCTGGACATAAGCCTCTCCTTGGAAAGGAGGTTTTGGCCTACTATACCACGCTGGCCAGACGGGTTGGTGTAGGGTTTGTGTCAAGTTTGCCTTCTCTCTGCAGTGCTATTGTTCTGCGTAGTTTTTTCCCTCAGTCGGCTCTTACGACACCCACGGCATGAATAGGGGTGGTGACAGTCTGTATTCTTAATCCGTCACCACACGCATCATTAATTTAAATACTACGATTCTTCAGAATCAAGATCACGAGCTTGTTACTATACATATCGTGAACTTCTTGTCGAAATAAAAATAGTTACTGTCCCATCAATTCATATTTAGTCTGTACATAATTATTTCGGTGCAATGCAGCATGTGGCCTGCCGTCGTTATAAAGAGGTATCGCTAGAGACCATTTTACTAGTCAGGATTGTTAAACTGACGCTTATTACTGTTAGCATCGATTCTTGATATTGAGGATCACCAGTTTGATGGAAAAAGATATAAGGAATCTTAAAGACAGAATCGGGACAATCATAACCAGAAGAAAATTTACTGACCTTGGAACTCTCTCAAAGCTAAGTCAACAGTGAATGAACCATTTCTCAAGGCTGGCAGGCATTAGTATTTCTCAAGACTTATTGATAAAATGTTAGTAATAAAATCGTGTGTTTGTTTTTGCCTAATATCTGAGCATTTATATATTACAAAATTAAGGACATACATATTTTGGTCTTTCTAATGTTAGCTTTGATCATTTCTATAAAATGTTGCTTACGCTAGGTCCCGCACTTAGAAAACATTACCAAAGAACATAAAAAATATCCTATGAACGCACATCATATATTTGTACGTTAAGACTCGGGACAATTGTTTGTGAATCTTATACAAGTGCTTTTGGTATTTTGTTTCATCTAAAAATCGTACACTTATAGAATAAAATTTAATTTAATTCTTTTCATATAGTAAATTTTTAGATCTCACCAAATTTTTAACAAGCCAATGGAATTACACACTATTATAATTTCTGAGCGGCAAATTTTGCATCGAACTAAATTATATATGAATATTATCATATTACGTCTTTGAAAGTATGCAGAACCGTAATTGGCTTTTCAAATTCATGACGCGAAGTCATGTCTTCAACATTGTTAAAGTTAAGTGGGTAGATGTTATCTTGATCAAATTTTGAACGGAAAACATCAAGTGAAGTACAGTTTCCAATATTTAGTAAGCAAGTATAGGTTTTTTTGAAGTTAGGAAATGTTTGGGAACTTGATTATTCGATATTGATATGTGAATGATGTATTGGTAACAAATGATTACAGTGGTCGCTTAGCTAATCAATAACTATATCTAGGGTACGTCGCCAAAGTATGGGTATTCGACTTCCCAACATATTATATTAATTTTAAACAGTTTTGCTTTACATTACTGTAAAGCATAAAGAACAATGGCAGAAACATATTTACCTAAAACTGAAGCGTTTAAAAAATTTACTAACAGTAAACTCACTAAATATTTTTTCTATGATTTATCATGATAAATGATATTTATTTTCTGTAAGTAAATCTTTACAGATATTTTTACAAGTCGGAACTTTTTATCGATAATCGATTGTTATAACTTTGGCTTAAATATCTATCGAAGGTTCACCTATTATGATTATGAATTTGCTTCTGCCCACGGGTTTACTCATAAGCTACCGTAACTAGTACCGTAGGGACTAAATCAACCTATTAGAAATAATTTAGAATATTTTTGACTGTTTTTAAAAGATTTTTGCTACACCAAAATAAATAGAATATAGTTAAGTTATTTTCCTACGGAAAAATTCTAAAACAATATACTGCTTAGTGTGATGAGAAAAAGACATTGTAGGTTGATAACGGTACATAAATACATCGATATTTTTAAAATGTCGATACGTCGTCGTCGCACTTACTAGTCTTGTCGATTGACACTTACACGCATGACTTACATTCCATTTCTCACAAGACAATTGTAGTTTGTTTGGTTGTTTTACCTTTGTTTAGTTTTAAACTCTCATATATATTTATTTTAATTTTAATTTTATATAGTGTTACTCCATTATGCATGATGTGATGCCTTAAAATGTTGTGCATTAATCTCAATATAATAGATGCATGCTTTAGATTTAAGTAAATAATGTCACAACTACTGACTGTTGAATAACTAAATCAATAAATAAATGCTCCCGCTTTGTGTAAATGTGTATTGAAGTAAATTTATTCAAATTATTATTGATAATTTATTTATTTATAGCTAGTATTAAACCTGTGTGTAAGCGAAGATTTTTTTCTATTGTTTACCAATACATGCCAAGCAAATACCCTTCCTTCCTTCACCCTTTTAGAGAGTCGGCTAACACTTTCTACAGCAAAATATGATTGCTTATGAGTAATAATAATGATGAATAATATTTTCGAATATATGACACACAACGCCATCTAGTTTCAAACAAAACATTGACAATATTTATCCTCAACCTCGAAACATTCAAAATCTACTATCTTTTTTCCTAGACTTCTTTCGCTAGTAATTTTTTTATAAGAATGTTCAAGAATAAATTCTGAAGGGTTATAGGCATTTTTAATATTTAGACGCTGTCATTTCACTTCAAATAAAATTATGTATGGGGACCTGCCATTGTCCTTTAAATATTAAATACTATCACACAATGTATGGACCTTC